TGCCCTTATTCCTGTCACAGTTCATTATCCCCTTGTGTTAGTACTTACTTGTGTTTCTGTCTGTCTTGCCTTTTGTTTTTATACCCTCTTCTGTTCTTTCCTCCTGAGCACAGGAGGCATTTAGTGTTCATAAGCTCCTGAATGGTTACCTGTAAGGACTTTCTGTTCTGCTCAGAACGACAGTCAAGTTTACAATATGGGGTTAAAATTTTAAGAAATCTCATTCCACTTTTTCAGCTGTGGCATGACATATGCACAGTTGCTCCTGGGAGATGGCTCGTGCCAATGACATTAAACGCAGAGATTAAGGATGCTCGCTCCATCAGTACACCCTTTGTAGAAATCAACTGCCAACCCATACCATGGAAGACCCTCCTAAAGTTTATGGATTGAGTGAGTGAGTTTTACTGGACAGCAAAATGGCAATCCTTTCATGTGATGTCTGAAATACCTGTTTTAACGTGAAATGCACCGGGCTGTCTCAATTAAATCATTGTAAGAACTATTTCAACTGGGTAAACAGCATCTTTCCCTTATAAAGCACTGAACATTTTAATCAAAACTTTTGCAAAAATGTTCAGGTTGAGACAAATTTCTGGACCAGAACCTCCAATACGAGCAAAAAAAAAAAAAAAATCAATCAATGAAATAAGGTATTACTAAAATAAGATATTTTACTCCTGGTGATTAGGCAGATCTAATTCTGAGAATTGCTATCATCAGCTCTGCTGCAGTGAGGCCTGCACTGAGAACCTGGCAGCTAACTAGAACATATATATATATACACAGTCAAATTCCTGTGAAAGAGGAAAAATCCACCATAGAGAGCAGATTACCCCACAGGGTTGTTTGGGGTTTGTTTTTTGCTTTTTGGTTTGTTTTTTTTTTTTCTCTAATATCTTATATTCTGTTGAAAATGCAGTCCTTAAAGGACTGGATGATTGACGTATGTTGGCAAAGGTTGCTCACTCTGCAAATGCCATGTGAGGGTGTGGCCTATGCGGTTTTCCAAGGTAATCATGCAGGTGGAAAAAGTAATTAATTCCCTACTTTTATATTTGTTAGTATGAGAGCTGTCAAAATAGATCTGTAGATAAATCACTTCTTGTAGGTATTTTATTTTATAGTAGTATTATTATATAATAGGTTTGTCCTATCAAAATAAGCCTCCCCTCCCAGATAACCAGGTGTGTCAGATTGCTCCGGTGAAACTCGAACTGGTCACAGATCAATTGGGTTTAGGTCAACTCCATCTGTGTTGTCTGTCTCCCCACGGGATATGTTGCCAGGCGGTGCAGGAGCACTCTGTAATACAACCTGCCACTTTCGTTTTAGAAAGACAGTGACAAGACACTGCACTGCCCTCTCTGTCCCTCTCTTTTTCTAAGTCTGGGCTCTCTCACCATGCCCAGTTCAGTTTCCCTCCCACAGCTCGGCCCTGCGGTGCTCAGCCGGCCGGGAAAGCCTACCCTCTGCTGCCGGCGCTCCCGAAAGGCACCAGCCAGGGAATTAATGGCTCAGCGAAGTGCCGGGACTGCTGGGGCTGCAGGACAGAGCGGGCGTGTTCACCCTGCACTTCGCACTTCATTCCCGTGTGCCCGTGGGTTAAAACTGGGGACACCTCACACTCTTTAGGGGAGGGTGATGGCTGGTCCCCAGCTCGCTCAGGGCTCACTGCGGCCAAAAGGGGCACCCAGAACCAGACAAGATGCCACAGCACGTGCGGGACACACTGACCAGCTCAGCCTCGTCCTGCCACTCAGCACCACCATCCTTCCCCCAGCACATCTGCTCCTAGAAATCTGCTGCTTTCCCCTGGTTTAAAGACCCGTGTTCCACAGCGTGGCCCTACCCCAAGTCAGCCTACCTTTTCCACCCAGAGGGGACAGTGGCACCGGGCCTTCAGGAGCCAAGACAAGCTCCCGGGTCAGAGGTCAGCCAGCCTGGCCCCGGCTGAAACTTCCTCAAAGTCTGAGCCATTCGGGACAGGAGCTCAGGTTACAGCCGCCTGAAACCCCTCCAGCTTGGCTATTACAAATGGCCTGCCATCACTTGCTATGTTTGCAAAGCCTGCTACACCTAGAAAGAGAGGTGACCTTAAGGACTTAATATCTGGGAGTAATTGATTGAAGTGCAGGTTGGTATGACAGCAAATATTTTTAAGATTTTTATTTGTTGAAGAAGAAGACTTATTCCCTCAAAAATCAAATGGCTAACAACGTGCTGTTACTGTAGAGATGTTCTCAGGTTTAGAGCTGTGCATCCAGAGCAGTTTACAGTAAAGACCAGCATCAGAATATTCTGAGCACAATAATGACACCCTATAAATAATGTGAAAGGACGTGAAGCCAGGGTAGCACATTTTTTTTCTCTGGGAGGGATTTGCTTGGGGGCAAGCTGTTGTCCGTTCCCCCTCTCCAAGCCCCCTGTTAGCATTTCTTTCTGAACATAGTACATAACTTACAATGTCTTGGGCACAGCCTTCTCCATGTTCCTCCTCCATGGCTCAGCTTTGCTTTGTTCCCACCAAAGTGTTATTTACAGCATTTAGGCCTAACCCTGGAGTGGCTTCAATGAGAGACAGGGCCATAAAAACATCACTCAACATCTTATGCACTGCTGTCCCTCAGTGGGTTAAGCTTTACAATGAGAGAAGCAGTTTCATGGAGGCAACCAAATTCTTTTCAGATAGGAGAATAACATCTCGGAGGCTTGCTGCTCTGCAGTGTAATTTCTTTGGTGTAAAATGCACTGAATGTCCTGAGACATGTAATCCTCAATCAACTTCTTATGAAAAACTCGAGATAACTGAAAAATTTGTAATCTCTAAAATGAAGACCCAGGCATCCTTTTGACGCAAGTAACTGCTACAGTCTGCATCAGGAGCAGAAATGTCAACAACACAGCAGAAGTGAGCAGTTGTTCTCATATTTATTTTAGGTGAGAATTGTTGCACCAGTCACTCAAACCTATGGTTCCGTGCAAGTGATTTGGAACATTGGGCACATATCTTTGAATTTCTCAAAGATTGTGGTTTTTTTATAGGTCAGTATTTGATTGCATGTTTGCCCCTCCCTTTGTAGGAGTTATCTCCTGCAAGGAATGAAGCCTATTAATTAACTTATTTCAGGGTATCAGGACATCTGATGGTTTTTAAATCTATCAGGTAGATTCGCTAAAAAGTTTCTTATTCCTTGACGATAAAACAAACAAACAAACAAACAAAACAAACAAACAAACACAAAAAAACCCCCATCAATCCCCCCAAACATCCAAAGCCAATGAAAACTGCAGCAAAAAGAAAAAAATGAAGGAAAATAATTATTATCAACCAAAGAAAAATCCAGAAGAATGAATAAGTACAGGCTTTTCTGCATGGGGGTTGTTTTTATTTCAGTTTCTCCTTGCTCTGTAACAGAACCTTCTTCACATCCCTCTTCTTATTTATTTGGCAATAGGGTGCTTTAGCATTGAACGTGTACTAGAGGAATGCACAGTATCTCCACAGGCCATAACAAGAAGCACTGGACTTCTAGTTTGCTTTATCTGTGGAGCTATGGGCAATCAGCTTTCACTAGCTATGTAGTTGTAAGATGCTCTGTGTCTCCATCAGCCTTAGTAGGGACTGCAAATAAGCTGTTTCCCTTGTTGACTTTCTCAAATTTGCTTTCTATGTGCCTTCTCAGCTCTAAAGTCATAGGTTAATATTAGTTGGTTTTCCTCTGAGCTAAAGTATTACCTCTATCAGATTATTTAAATGTGTTACATTCTGTGTGGAAGTGTATCTTAGAATCTGGTTTAAGTTAAACTTCCACCTAATAGTTTAAGCTAAACTGAAAGAAGGCTACTTAAAACTGCTTGGGAAAAAAATTCAAAGTCTGTCAGTCTAAAGGATCCTGGCAGTATGGGCCTCTTCTGGTTGTCCTCTTGGGGCTTTCCAGATGCCTGGTTTGCATAAGGGCAGTTGTAAGGTATGAAATGAAACGTGTAGATATCCTAATATTCCTGCCTCTGAGATGATTAGTTATGGAATAATTTAGGCAATGCATACCTAAAAGAAAGGGTGTGAGAACAGGATAAGCTCCATTTGCAGCTCAGGGGTTGTCTGTCTCCAAAGAGGCTATACAGCCATAGGTAATGGTTGAATGCACTGGTAATTAGTAATCCTTGCTCGATTTTTCTTCCACTGTCTAGTTTCCCCTGGCACCCATATAAACATTTAGACTTTTGCTAGGTAATTCCACTGGATGGCACTCCTTTAGTGGAAAAAATCCCTTTGTTCTGAACTTGTTTCCTGCTAGCTTCAACTATTTTCCATGCTTTCCCTGCTGGTTACACTTTCATTATCTCTGCTATATCTCTTAAGTCAACTTGTTTCAGAATGAGTCGTAATTTACTTAGTTGTTCATTTTCAGACCTCTTGTAAGATTTTTTCTCCACTGAATCTTCAAGATCTGCATCCGGAGGAGAGAGCAGACACTGACTTCAGGCTCATGTTAGAAGTGAAGATAACTTATCAAAACTGTTTGATGGACACTGATATATACTGTAGCCACTTGCTCTCTTTTTGTTGGCCGCAAACATTACTTCAGTAATGTATAAACAGCGTTTGTGTTCAAATGGCAGTAAACTTCTGCAGTGATCTGGTTTTTCTTCAGGTGGCACCAGTAAAACACTTGACTCTGATGTCAGTTATGTAAACACATGGCCGTATTCATACCAAGTGGTAATCGTTCCACTGAAACTGGCACAAAAACCAAGAGCTGCTTAGTTCCAAAGGAAAATCAACCCCTTTAGAGTGAGTGCACCTGCACAGGAGGTGTGTGCACTGAATGCTATGAGGAGAGCCCTAAGAGGAAAAGGCAGCATAATTTAGATGTCTTGCTATTGGAGGCCTGAAGATGTGCCTTTTTGGTGCTCTGAGCTTTAGCAGACATGCTGAGAGAAATAAGGCATAGTTGTACGAGTGAGGGATGGGGCGAGAGTGAAAAACACTGGCACACAGAGGCTGTTGCTACGGAAGCCTGGAACAGTAATGCAGAGGAGTTTATGTGGTGTTATTTGTCACAGATTATGTCTCTGCCTTGTCTCACAAAGCAAATGATTCACTGCTTTTTTTTTGCTCAGGGTGGGGCAGTAATTCCTTTCCTGGATTGCTAAAAATAAAGCTAAACAATGACTACGATATTAATTTTTAACGGAAAAAAGAGGCAGAAAACTGATATCTCCTGCAAGTAACCGAACCTTTATTCAGAATGGATGTATACTATTAGTATGAATAATAAATGCATGTCTTTAAATACTTATGCCATTATCTATTTTTACTTAATCAGATCTGTTTATTCCTAATATATGTTTCCATGCACACTAGTTTTCTTCTCCTACTGCTATTCATTTTCTCAGCATGTGGCTTTCCTTCTTGATTTATCAATACATATCCATCTTTGGAATGCCAAGCTGTCTTATTTAAAAATACCAAAATGAAACATAACAGAAACCTGTTGGCTTTCTGATGTGAAAGCATTTGACTTGCACCAGAAAAAAAAATCAGTTGTTTATCTTTCAATATAACTAGTAGGTGATGGCTGGCATTATGTTGGGCATTGCTGTTAATCTGCTCTCTTCTCAATAACCTGGAAAATTACTGTTGTACCATGTGGTCTGGAAAATAAATTGTGTTGGATGTTAATATGTATTTTTCATATAATGCAAATATAGCTTGTATTTGTTAATTATTTTTACTTTGAGGAATTTTGACCATGTCATAATCCAAGCAAGCAGGGCACAGCTATGAATTTTAGAACTGCAGTTCCTTGTCCTAGCAATGGTCTGCGCTGGTGACTCAGTGATTCCTACTGCAGAGCTGTGCAGGGACTGCTGCACAATAGTCGTGAGACTGTTTTCTCCAGCAGGTCTGATTTATGGTTAGCACTATCTAGGAAAGCTTTCCGAGGGTTATTGCTTCTCTTGGCCTGAGATGCAGTGTCTTCTGTTGTGGAGTGCATGGGCATCTCCTGATGGAAGGTGACTGGAAGGTAAAAATGGAGTTTAGGCAGTTGGAAAGTCTGTGGTAGCTTGTCTGCAAGGGGCAGCAAACCTGGTTAGATGGAGCACAGCTGCCAGCCCAGCGATGGCCCAGCCGCCCTGTCAGGTGTCGGGGGGGCGTCTGTGGGCTCGCGGTAGCAACAGCAGCGCATGTTGGTGTAACCAAGGGTTCAATTCCAGTGGGAGAGGCACGGCGAGCATCCCTGCAGAGCGATGCTGGGCACCGTGTCACCTGCGACTGCCCAGCGGATCCCTGAGGGGAGGGAAGGCCTCTGAGAAAGGGCTCCGCGGGCTGCGAGGAGCGAGGGCCGCCCCTGGCGAGCGCCTCCTGCACAAACGCCACGGGCTGCGGAGCGGTGTCCGCGGCTGGCCCGGGTGAAGGGCCCGCCGAGTCGGTGTGAGCGACGGGCAGCCTCTGGAAGGGTGACGGGTACTTTCCCGGGACGGGGAGAGGCTCTAGGCACGAACCCTCCTGCTTGTGCAGCCGAGAGCCGCCTGCAGCTGCCCATTCTCCCTCGGCCGCCGCAAGGAGAAAGGACCTTTCGGCGCGGCCGGCGGGGCGGTGCCGGGGGCTCTCCCGGCCCCTCTCGCCCCTCCCCTCCTCGCCCCTCCCCTTCCCTCGCAGG